ATTTGCTTTTTGTGTATTTTCGGCACTTCGGTCCTGAGAAGAGGCTGGTGCCTTTTGAGTATCTGATTCTCATTTGCGTATCGCTCACAATTAAGCATCGGTCTTATTTATGCAGTCCTTTTTGCCCATTTCGACTGTGTACTTACTTGGTAAGGCAAAGGCGAAGGGCAATGAACGTATGCAGTGTTGGGACAGTTTGTTTTCCACAAGGGATTTTCTAATTGCGTTCATGTTTATGGGAATTGAGGTGCGTTGCTGCAGTTATGCTCGATGGTGGCTTATTTCAACGGGGAAAGCCGTGTGGAAAACCGGCACCTTTCAAAATAACCGTTAGGAAATTAATTTTACTCCGCTTAACAACAGGCGTCCATCTGTACGCTTGCATGGTCGTCTATCTGCATCGTTTGTGTCGTTGGGGGACCAAGGACGAAAGTGAGGGCTGTTGTTGTTTTGTCTTGGTAATGGCAATGGATGTGGAATACGGAGACGTTGTATGTTAGGGTGTGCTTTGTCGCCTCCTGTCTGGAGTAGTGACTGGTTGTCCTCCAGCATTGTCTCACAAGTTGGGCAACAGAATGTAGCACTTATGTAACTAATGTAGATGCTTGCCTTACCTAAATCTGTTTTTGAACAGGATCTAAGGCTTCCACTTTATTTGCTCGATCAAAGGGGTACTTACCTGAACGATTGCTGGACGAATGATGTTAATCCAGTCATGCTATCTTGTAAAAAAGGCGTTGAAAACAGGTTGGACTTGTGCACTTCTGTCCTGTTTATTACCAGATGGCTCCTTTCTGACACTCTTTGCGCCTGCTTTTGTCCTTTTCTGCTAATGTCACTTGTTAAGGCCAAGGGAGCAGGAGAGATGCTGTTGCTGTTGGGTCCACGTTTTGAAAGCAGAATTAGTGAGGAGGGTTGTTTGTGATTGTTTTTGTGGTTGCTTTGTTCGAGGTTGCCTGTGTTATGACGACGGTGAGTGGATTGCAGTGGGTGAGGTACGAATTCCTTAGCAAAGTGTTGCAACCTCGTCGGTTGTGTTGCGCTCACTCGTTGATTCACTTGCAGTGCAAGTTAGTGGCAGTTGCAAAGAAGTGTGGTAGGTGTTGAGACTTTTGTTTTGTGGATGTACTTTGCACTCACGGTTATGTTTTGGCACCACGTAGTGCTGTTGGCGAAGGGGTGAGGTTGTTTGGAGGTTTATGAAATGATTTGCTGTGTTGACAAGCATAAATTTGATCGGTGAGGCGTTGAGCTATGTCATGTGTTCTGTTCCTACTTGCTTGGATAAGAACGAGAGGGCAAGGGCTCACCCTGGGTCCTTCCTTACTCAAATGCTATTGTTTATGCAACGGTATTTGCGATTGTATTACTGCACAGTCCTCGCTGTCAATGAATGTGTATGATTGTAATGGGTTGTGAGTATTCATTAATTAGGGACAGGTTCTGGTGAATGAAATTGCAAGGAGGTGTAGCTTTTACCATGGTGGCTGTGGTCTTTATGGTGGACAATACTTTTGGTGGGTCGTGGCTAACACTGCAACTGTGGATGGGACGGACGTGGACACTGGCAGTTAAGGCTGCAGCTGTCGATGTAAAAGGACGCAGAGTTGTGCTGCGACGAAGTGAATCCGCCTACCTTTTTCAGCGGGCTCTGGAATGTGGTTCATGGCCCTTGGAGCGGAAAGTGATGGGCCTTGCTGAGGAGGGAAGAAGCGGAGTGTGTTTAGTGAAGAAGGTGGTGGTCACGTGAGCAAGCAACCCGATATCGCTTTATCCACGCCAACGTGTACCACGTCAAACTCCTACCAGTGAACACCCTTCAGACGCTTTACCCTTATCCGAGTGAGGAAGATGCACCAACCTCGTGGCTGAAAAAAAAGGACGCATCAATCTGCTTAATTTTGTGATGCCGCGGGGCTGGAGGTTGGGTGACCGAGCAGCGTGCAGTGCTTTTTGAGCTGCCTCTTACGAGGCACTGTCGTTTACAAAGTTGTGCCACTTGACACTTTGTTGCATCGCCTGCTCTATTTGTCACT